CTCAGCCTCAAAACTCACGTCTACATGTCACCACAGTAGGACAAACCGACAGACAAGTTTGTCCTGCTGTTGGAGACCTCTCATATCCCCCCCCACCTGGGTTCCTGTGGCTGACTGTTAGTTTGATGGTATGTATCAATAAACCTGTTTTTGTTTTTTAAAGCTAGGCTGAGGAATCTGAGCTTCATCTAATTCTTAACTGTATAGCCTAGCTCAAGATAGGCTCTGCCTCTAACTCACTGGTTGGAGGGTATAGAATGTAGAGTGAAAATACAAGTGAAGAATTCTATCAGTCAGGGTCTCAGGTGGGAAAAGATGGCACCCTCAAAAGGGTTACTTGAAGATAGTTTAATGAATGGATTATTTCAAGGACATGGAAGGGTTAAGGAACCAACAAAAGCTAGTGAAGGAGCTAAGGACTATCAACTGCAGGAAACTATTACCCTTCCTACTCCTACAAGGGCAAAGGAAGAAAAGGGCCCAGCAAAAGCTAGAACTGTGAAAGAAGGCCACTGAACACCTAACAGAAACCTCATAAATTCTGGAAGAATAGCTCAACCATAACCTCATCATCCTATCTAACATTTGTACAGAGTTTTATAGTTTACAGAGCACTTTTATATACACTAGGCTCATCTAAATTTAATAGGCACACTCTGAAGTATGCATGATGTTATTTATAAAATTAATAGCCAAAGTGCTATATGTGTATTGTCCTGTTGTTAATCTTTGCAATGACCCAATGAGGCAGACACTATTTTATTATTTCTGTCTCTGGTGGTGACAGGTGATGAAAAAAGTCTCAGAGCGGTTAAACACTTTCTCCAAGACTATGTGGCTAGTGAAACAATAGGGCTGGCCTCTAAGCAGAGGGTTTTTCTTAACCAGTATGCTGCTCTGCCTCCCTTTATTATTCTCAGCGCAAATGAAGCTCATGGAAGTGATGTCAAGGTCTAGGTCCCACAGCCAGGAAAGCGGAAACTCAGGTTATTAGAACTGTGTTCTTGCTAATACCCAACCAAGTGGTCAGTTTTAGAGAAATGCCCAGTAATTGAATAAATAAATAAAACTAAATGAAACCAAAGATAGTTATTCTTGGAAACAATCAATTATTAACATTTAACTTGTTTACATCATTGGCCAGATGATAACGGGCTTCCTCGTAGTTTTCCTTAGCCATATAGAGAAGTCCCAGGTTTCGATGTAGTAAAGAGTGGGTGGCATAGCTGCACTCAGTGGATTTGAGGACTGTCCACTGGGCTTGGGATAGATATTCTTCAGCCTGGACGATCCGACCAAGACCTGCCACAAAAGAAATAAAAGTTATAATTAGTCATTTACTGGCCATAGGACACATGATGAAGCATAAGTCCTCGTTCATTCACTCATTTATTTATTGGTTCAAATATTTAGACACACAAAAACTTGTCTAAGAATGTTCACAGCAGCATTATTCATAATTGCCAAAAAGTAGAAGCAACTAAAATGGTCATGAACTGATACATGGACAAATAAAAATGTAGTATGTCATTACCATGGAATATTATTCACCCATAAAAAGTAATGAAGTACTGGTACATGGGCTGACAGGGATGAACCTTGAAAATATTATACTAAATGAAAGAAGCCAAGCACAAAAGGCCTCATAGTGTATGACTGATTCAATTTATTTAAAATGTCCAGAAGAGGTAAATCCATAGATTCAGAAGATAGATTTGTTGTTATTGTTGTTATGTGCCCTCAAGTCGGACCTGACTCATAGCGACTCCTCCTTGGGTTTTCCGAGGCAGTATCACTATGGAAGTAGATTGCTCAACCTTCCTTCCGAGAAGTGGCTAGTGGGATTGAACCTCCAGCCTTCTGCCTAACAGTCAAGTGCCTTAGGCACTAAGCTACCAGAGATTAGCAATGGCCAAAGCCTGGGGGACTGGCAGAATGGGATGTGATTGCTAATGGGTATGGGGCTTCCTTTTGGGATGGTTCTAAAATTAAATGGTAGTGATGGTTTTATAACCTTGTGAATATACCAAAATCCACTGATGTACTTCAAAAGGGCAAATTTATGGAGTGCCAATTTTATCTCAATTAAGCATGTATATAGTAAATGCCTTTAATGTGTCAGGGCTTATGTTAAGTGATGGAGATTCAAAGAGGAATCTTAAATACCCTTTTCTTAAAACCAAACAATAGTTTAGCTTAACTAGTAAAAAATAGTCTGCCTTTAGCATTATGGTCTTTTTTTTTAAATTGTGATTTGGGTGAAAATTTACAGAGCAAATTCACTTTCCATACAACAGTTCACATACACTTTGTCTCATGACATTGACTACAATTTACCCCAATGCAAC